TTTTTTTTTAAACAGAACCTCACCGTTCTGGCTCCTACCATTCTGGGGAGCGACAGTCCGGTTCCTATTCCCCCGGCAAGTCAATATGGAATACATAAAAGACTCACACACGCTCCTCCCCATTATGGCTGAGAGGCCCAAGTGGGCGGCATTGATTACTTCCCTAAGGAAGGATATACCACCTCTCAGCCCTGCCTAATCTATCCTGTACTAACTCTGCCTGCCTATCTGTCTGATCCCAGATCTGCTCCTCTCAGCTATAAAGCTGTCGGATAGCTATGATTATGCAAGAGCATTCTGGAACACTTATGCGCCTTTTGAAACCTCTATAACTCTCCAACAGCCTTTGCCTTGGCCATAATCCCAAGGCCCTTGGTCTTAATGCTGTCCTGATCTATCTGTTACCAAACTTCCAGATCGAAATTACCTCTCCTATGCCCCAAAATCTCTCCCCGTTTTCACCCAACTATGACCCTTAACCCCTAAGCCCTTCCTTCTACTCCTAACCCTGAACCCCTTCCTTTTAAACCCTAAACCCTACCTTCCAGTACTTGGGTTCCTTTCCCCCTTTCGCTCTTCCCTGAAGTTCCATTTCCAGTTAAGAAATACCTCTCCTATGCCCCCAAAAAATCTTCCTGTTTTCACCCAACTCTGACCCTTAACCCCTTAACCCTTCCTTGTACTCTTAACCCTGAACCCCTTCCTTTTAAACCCTAAACCCTACCTTTCAGTACTTGAGTTCCGTTCCCTCTTTCGCTTATCCCTGTAGTTCCATGATTAGCACCCTTCCCCTCTCCATTTGAAGATCAAATGTGCTCCTTGGATTGATGCTACTGCTCCATCCCCGAGAACCTAAAGCGTTTCAATATTTCTTCCTCTTGTGCCGGCTGCTGGCGTACCTGGTTCTTCACCGCTTTCCACAGGGCCTTAAGGTGTGTTTCGATGAGTGATAGGAAGATTTCCTTTGCCTCTTGTCTATGCATTGTTGTGCCGTCTATCGTGATTTGACATCGACGCTTCCAAATGGTCCATAGGGCATATTGTCTTACTAGTTGGAACATATGTTTCTGAAAAGGTTGCCATTGCTTGGGAGTTCGCGTACCTAGCAGTAAGGAAATCCTTGAGTTTGGAAACGCACTCCCTGTTACATGTCTCCAAGTGTCTTTGGCCACCTCCCACAACCCTTGCGCCTCTTCACACTCTATCAGGCAATGTTGCATTGTTTCCGGAATTCGTCCCTGGCAAACCTTACACCACTCCTGATCCTCACTTCGCTGCCCTCTATTTCTTCGTTGATTGAGCCAAACATTCACTGGGAGTGCTACATGGGCTATAAGCAATTACATACTCCTTACTGACCCCAGCCGTATCCCCCCCAAGTTTGACCAAGGGAAGGATGACAACTGTCCCCTTACCACCCTTACCCTCTTCTCCCATCTCTTTAGCAACGTGGGAGTAATAGGGCAGGAACGTCTTCTCAATTTATACCCTATTTTTGTGTTGTAATGTAGAATATTTATTCTTCTAGATATTCCCCTTTGACCACTTCTAATGTTCCACGTCCATTCCGCTGGATCCACTTCTAGCTCTGCTATTGGTACAGTTGGATTATATAATGTGAATGTCTCTGCCTCAACCACTCTCACTTTCCTCACATACTGCTTGAGGATATAAATCGGTGTTTTTGTTGCGCTGTCTAGTTGGGACGTGGTGATGTATGGCTGGGGTATGTCATATTTATCTGCAATTARCCAGTCTGGTCTGGAARGCTCTAGCCMCYATATTCTGAAGACCTCCTTAGGTTCCACCTCATCTACCCATGTGACCCAATCACCCAATCCCCACTTCGTTCCCGCCTGTAGCAGGAGCATCCAATCCTTTGGTATGGCTTCTAGAACTATTCTTAGGTTTTCTTGAACTCGGTGACATCCCTTCAGATGTGTTCTTAGTTCCGTGACTGTTTTCCACCTCTTCTCTCCCTCATCCCAGAGATGCTTGACCTGCCATACCCCATGGTCTAGCCACCTACCCCATTTAGCGTCTTTTACTCAAACCGTCAGTGGTTTACCCTGGCCCGTCCTTAATACTTGTATTGCAGAATAGAGGCTGTCTGAGAACTTCTTCCCTTGTGGTTGGTTCTCTGACCCTTGACGGAAAGATCTCCTTCCAGAGTTTAATGAGTTGAACCCAGTATTCTGAGTTCCGTATTACATCTACTTGTTCCGTATTTAACCCCTCCCTGGTACCAACCTTCGCCCAATTACCACACATTACCCAAAACTGGCCTGTCATGTTACCTGGTGTTTTGTATTTAGCCATTTGCCGAATCCTCTCCATCACCATAGGTGTCCACGAAAGCCTCGGATGAGTGATTAGTTTGGCCAGCCATTTAGTCTGCAGTGCTTTAAGCTGAATTTCGGGATCTAGCACCCACAGAACCCCTTGCTGTTTGGGACTAGTTACATGTTTCCATGCTACTTTAGAGATAAAACGGTCGCTATTTACCTTACCCGTCCATAGGTACGCTGCTGCTCTTCTTCTCAATAGAAGTGTCGACGCTTTTGGTGGGGACCATATGGACTCGGCATACCATAACATTGAGAATATTGAGGCATTAAGTATGAGAGCCCTTCCATATACCGACGTGTACACTGCCGACCAAGCCCCTAGTTTTACCAAAATTTTTGACATCAGGTCTGCTGCCATAGAGTGATGCATTCCTCCTTCTGTTATTTTAATTCCCAGGTATCTGATAGGGGTCTGTGTCGTCGTCCAATGGAAGCCATCGGATTGTTAGTGGGAGGCGTGTGTTGTTGTTCCTGCTCTGTTAACCACAAACCTAATCGTCAGTTGGTTCCTATTCCACCGGCAAGCCAGAAGAAACATTACATTACAGCAGAAACTCACGCTTCCTCCCGTTTGGCCGGAGGACCCCTGAACAGCATTGATTGCTCCACCAATGGTGAAGGATTGACTGTCATCTTGCCGTGACTCCCTCTTTCCTCTCAGACCTGAAAAAACACCAGCTCTGCCAGATAGTGCTGTGTCATCTAGAAAGAGCTCCCCATTGTTTCTATATGCCTGTGCTCTCCCCCTCATCGGCCCTGCCCATAAGTCGCTGTATCCCCTAAACCATTAAGCCTTCTCCCTTCTTTTGAGGTCTACTAAACCCTAAACCCTAAACCCTGCCCCTCACTTGGAAGAATTATTTTTAAAATTTCCCCTCCCGCACTCTCGCCTTCCATTGGCGTAACTCCAGACCCCGACTGTATCTCCCCTAATGTGGTGGTATGAGTCCGAAGCTTTCTCTTTAGAGTTCTGATCCGGAGGTGCTTTGTCTGTGCGCTGCACTCTGCTGCCCAGCGTTTCTTCCTGAGCTAGAGTTGTGCCAGTCCTTCCAACAGATGCGATCGTCCCGCAACTCAGCAACTTTCCCATCTATCAACCACGCCCTGCTGAAGCTCCGTCTAGCCTTCCTTAGCTGCTTTTCGTCCTCCGACCAAGATAATTTAATCTTTCGCCATCTGCAAAAGATCTCTGCCTGTACCATTTTTTTTTTAATTTTTTTTTTTTGGCCCCAGAAGCTACCCCTGCCCTCAATTCTAATTAAAAAAACTCTGCGCCTTTCTCTAAGCCTCGTGAAATCCCTGGTATTCTGACCTCTGTATATCTTGCTTCTGTTTAAACCCTAAACCCTAAACCCTCCGCTGTAATGCTGAGTAGTTGAAGGCCCAATCTGGCTTCCTTTCTTCTGGAAGAGGAAGCCCTTTCCCTTTTGGTTGTCGCTTTAAACTTTACCCCTGAACTCTTGCCATATTGTCCACCTCCGTTCGCTTCA